GAATATATTTTAATCACTTTTACAATATTTGTATTGTTAATTTAAATTAATATAATATGCTCATATATTATAAATACCATGCAATCACACTAACCGCTTGGTCCTCAAGCTGTACCAGAGCTTAGTACTCAAGATACCCTGTAATTTGAACCAAGCAACGAACGTCTAAGGCCATAAAGCGTCAAAACACCGGAAGCTTACAAATATTATACAATCGCCATAAATATCTTGTTCATAAAATGTGTAAAGTTGTAAACAACTGTGATGTAAGTTTTAAAAGTACTTCTTTTCTCGTAATGTAGTTTTAAAAGCTAATACAAATTTTATGTCTAACTTCATCTACAATCAAACAGCGAAACCTCATTTAAAAAAGTATGCCTTAGAACCCGTTTACTTGCTCTACCGCTCAGTGCTCGGTAGTGAGAACGTCATTGCATTCTGACTGCCATTATGAAAGTATTTTTAGTGTTTCATACATTTTATAAAATGATGTCTAACTTTTGAGGGTTCCGTACCTCCGAAAGAAAAAACGGAACCTTTATAGAATCGTTGTCCGTCCGTCTGTCAAGACCCTTTTTCTTAGGAACGCGTGGAGGTATCAAGTTGAAATTAATATCATATACTCAGGTTCGCAATCTTTTAAAGCAATAATAACATCAAGCATCTAAATCGACGCAATCAAAAGATACGGCCGTTTATGTTCTATTTATATCGCATATGTTGACATTCACAAAGGAAATCAAAATCTTCAAGGTACTTTTCATTGACCTAGAATCGTGAAATTTGACAAAAAGCAATGTCAGTAGGACAAGTAAAGTAAAAAATCCGAAAACCGTACATTTGTGGTTATTTCACAAAAATAATTTAAACTTATGATTTTGTACGGAACCCTCGTTGCGTGAATCCTACTCCCATTTGACCGACTTTTTTTTATTTTGTTAGATACTAGGAACACCTAATTCATCTATGAGAATCTAATATGTCCCACTGCTGGGTAAGGATCTCTTTCCCGTTAGAGGGGAACATTATTGATCTAGAATTACCATGTTGATTAAATGGTTTTGAATGGAATAGTCTTTTGAGGTTTTACTCTCTTGTATAGATCTCAAGTAATTATTAATGAACTATCCAAAGTTTATATGTACATTACTTAAAAATAAGAAGTTAAAAAGAAAAGGATGTCTAGTTGACCGCACTGATTGCCACTCTCTAATCTCAATAAGCACTCTACACGAACTTATATGTTTATAGGGGAAAACACAGATGACAAATGTATAGGAAAATAAATGCGAATACATTAGTATCTTAGATTAATATAAGATTGGAACCCAAACAGTAATAATCGTGCTTATTAGGTACGTATCAAATAATATTATCTCACATTTGTTTTGATTCGAAACATAGAATTAATTTCTTTTCATTATTTTTGTTATAAAAAAATCTATTAAAAACATTACAATAAAAGAATAATAAAAAAAAAATGGCTCCGTAAGAAAGAAATAACAATAATACATGGTTTTATTTTAAAAAATTTCATCGGAAATTTATGAAACAGTGACCAACTTTTATTGAAAATATCATAAAAATAAAATATATAAAATTAGTAACGAATCAAAACATTCAAATAAATTTATTTATATAACTAAGGTGGCAAACAAGTATACGGCTCACCTGATGGTAAGCGGTTACCATAGCCTATGAACGCTTGTAATAGCAAGGGCATTATGCGTATGTTGTCAACCCTAAAGAAACCTCTTTATCTCTTTTTTGAACCATAAAACCCATATAGTTTCTTGGAAAAACCTCGACATCATTCCATAACCTGAGCGTTCGTGTGAGGAAGCATCTCTCAAACTGGGCTGTATGTAATCATCTAGGCTCTAAGGTACGGGGTAAACTCCCTCTCAATGGCGAGTTGTACGATAGTAGAAAGTGACCGTGGGCATCATATGCAACAATTCCTCTGAGCACAATCCATTGTACAAGCGGTAGAACACGCAGAGTGAGGCAAAATCTCTCCTAATACAGTAATTTATTGTTTTAATTGTTTGTTTACATTTTTATTAAATTCAATTGAAACAGATTATAATTTTATTATGTATGCAGTTTAAATTATATGTGCAACAAAATCAGACGATTGACGTCCTAACTAGTCCTATAATAATTTATTTTAAATGTGAAAGTGAGTTTGTTTGTCACCAACTGACGCGTCAGCGACCCAATCGTCACGTTTGGCACATTATATGCAGGGCATGCACGAAACGTTTAGCTTGAGGAAGGACATAGTAAGTTGGTTAGCCCGAACGATAAATGTAATACTAATTTTACGTGGTCAGTAGCACTAAACATTTGGATATGAACTCAGACGAATCTCTAAATATGAATGAATAATGCATGGAAAATCAACTGAAATTTGTCAACAAGACAATAAAATATATCACTCCCTCAGCTAGTCTTCTAATTACATATATATATATATATATATATATATATATATATATATATATATATATATCAAGATCCAACAAATAATAGTAGCCACTATTATTTGTTGGATTTTAAGCAAGATCCTCTCTGAAAAATATGATCTTTTTTATTTCATTCATGTCCATAGACAGTGATTCTATCTGATGGACTGCCAACTTGAGTGCCAAGTAGGTGATATGAAAAACCTATTGACATTGTGGCTCTACTTGTATGAACGATATATTTAATCAATAATAAGAAGAACTTGCTATTGCCATACAAATCTATCTTGACAAATCCATCAATACTAATAAAGATATCTACCAGCATATCACTTTTTATTGTTTTTCTTTATATTTTCATCTTCTATTGAATTTCTAGTTTCTAAATTGAAAATTTAATGAAATCCTATACTACATTAAAAATAGAATAGATTTTTGAAGATGTTTTTTACCTCGACCCTTATATATTACCAGCTCTATCCCGTGGCTTCAGCCACGTGAATTGTTCAATAAAATATCTTATATTTTAACTTAGAGTATAATCTATCCATTTCATTCAAATCCATTTAGTAGTTTTTACGCGGAGTAACAAACATTTATCCACCTATCCTTATAAACTCGCATTTATAATAGTAGTAGAACACAAGAATCCATGTGTAAAGTATAGAGACTAATGTGTAAGTTTTTTTACATTTTATATTTCTACAATTTCTGTTTATTTCTGATGAATCATTATTCATTTGTCAGTATTTACCAATTAATTTAGATTGTGTATAGTGCCTATTTACCGTAACGAGATAAAAAGATTCTTAATTTATAAAGATTAATTAGAAAACCATGAATATAATAAGTATTGAAATTATTCAAAGATATTTTAATCGACGTAAATCAATTTTACAATTTCTTGAAAATGATATGAGCAAATTTGGCGAGGCGCATCATGTACGAGGACTGCATTTTTCTTCACCTGTTTTTACCGTTACACCGACAGCCCCTAAAATATGGCAACCTCGAAGCCCACTTATCCTTTGATAACTTTCTCGAACTATACGAATATAAATAATTATTGTATCGAAAACCTTAACATGTTTTATAAATCAGACAAAATTTTAATCTTTTTTATCGATTTCTCAGTGTTATTTATAATTCAATAATATGCGAATATCTACTTATATGACAAAATATTAATAACAATATTTGGTGCGTTATTATTATATAATACATAGTCTCGTGCATATCATCTCCTGGATCCATAACGTTCCATGTACCAAACAGATATAATCAGGTCATAAATTAAATTCCCATGATCTAAATATTATTTCTTATTCTTCTTCTTTATTTGGGAGTAAAGGAAGGCTCCTTTTCCGTGGGTATCGTAAGTTTCGACTAAGGGAGGGCGAGGGATAAGCAGCAGCGTCCCTCTTAAAGCACCTCTAAAGCCTAACTGCGATTGCCAATCTGCCTGACAAGCGTGGCAACTACTGGCAAAACCCCCCAACGGGGAGGCTTATGTTCATTAGTGGATAGTTAAAGGCTGATATGATCATGATAATGATGATGAAAGGAAGGAAACAATCAAAGAATATTTGAAGGGATTTTGTGAAAGATAACGCACAAAAAAGAGATGTGAGTCCATGTGTGACGGTTGGTAGTGGTCAGTGGAAGCGAAAGACATACAAACAAACAACTAAATATACTAATAACCTACAAATAAATGTAATAAAGACAATATAGTGAGAATATTTATTTATTCATTAGTACATATATGTGTACATGGCGGACTTAATGCTAAAAGAATTCTCTCCCAGTCAACCATAGGGAAGTGTCAGAATACTCGAATACGGTACTAGTAATTATTGATATATAAACGAATAATATATAAATAACAAATATTCTTATACATATATAGCATGTACTATATTATACACGAAATTGAGAATAATATTAAGTATTTACTGTTCGTATACGAGTAAAGTAAAAAGTAAGCATGACCGTTTTTTTAAAAAGACGGTTTAGTCGGTAGTCTCTTCATGGCATCAGGAAGCGCGTTCCAGAGTCGTGAAGAATGTAAGAGAAAAGAATTTGAAGCGAAACCAGGACGGTAAGAGGGAATAGATAGTTGGAGAGTATTTACTGGAACGAAGGTTACGATCGTGAGTTTCTAAAAGATACTGGAGTTTGCTGCTATTTTGAAGCTATTAGAGCTGTAGAGATCAAGCTAGGAAGAGCTATCTATTATTTTATTTAAAGTCTCACACAATAACACCAATCGCCTGATCCTCAATCTAGGATACCCTGTGTTGTGAGAAACAAGGCTATTGTATATTAGAGATTGCATGATGAACTAAGTAATTAATTTATGATAAGTGATTTGATTCATCAATTACCCATTGCATACAATATGTTAAAAGGAAGTTTATCGACATTTTGTATTTAGATTAAAATAATGGCAAAGATAACACTATATACGTCAAGTTACTTAGATAAATACGATTAGATATAATACCAGTAAATTCAACGCGATAATGTAATTAATCATTGTTAGTCAGTATTTCATTAGCGACAATATACAACGGATATTAATATAATTATAATCATAAAAAAATGGCAGAAAAGGTTAAGAGAAAAAGTTCGTTCTTTAATTTAAAAATTTGGAACAACCAAAAATCTGTGGATGATAGTGCAAGTAAGATCTCAACTACACCAATAGATAGTACGCCACAAGTACAGTTTCGAAATCCAGCACCTAATTTGGGATACAGAGGTGCAAGATCATCAGATTTAAGGGCAAGCAGGTGAGAGAGACATCTATAAATCAAATCTGTTACTCCAGTTCCCATAGAAATATTGGGAACTTTTGTTATTTCAGCCGTTAACTATCCACTGTTAAACGAAGGCCTCCCCCATGAGTAGGGTTCTGCCAGTAGTTGGCACGCTTGGCAGGCGGCTTGGCAACTGCAGTTGCTTTGGCGATGTTTTAAGAGGGACCCTGCTGCACATCCCTCGAATATTAAGTTCCCTTAGTTGTCTCTTATGATACCCATGGAAAATTAAGGGTTGGCCGGTATTATGCCGGGCACAGACGGCATTGGGGACTAACATTATATGAAATGCATATGCAAAATTTTATGTAACTGAACCCATCAGTACCAGATCTGCGTTAAAAACACTCTTAACTCTCTACCTATCCTGTCCAGAGGTGACTATTATATTTATTCTTAATTTTCTATATGAATGAAATATATATTCTAATATTACTCTATTCCAGCTAATTGTAGTTTAGACAGATAAATACGAGTAGCATATCCTACCCTATTAGTAATACTAAACTAAATTTTATTTATTATCATCCTTAATTAGCTATTAGTAAAATGAAAAAAATGTCTGGCTATTCCTTTTTATTTTTTGCTCTATTTTTTTTTTTGGGTCAGTGAAATATGATGCAAACGTCATCTAATGTATAACTACTACTACTACTAATGTCAACTAATATATATATATATATATATATAAATATATATATATAAATATATATATATATATATATACACATATATATATAAGATCGCTTATATTATATTATATATATATCTTTTCATGCCTGTCCTTATTCTGCCACTTACTTCGTGCCTGTTTATTGACAAATATTTTCTTTTTTTGTACTCCAACTATATTGTGGGTATTAGTGTAGGACCTTTACTCCAAAATTCTTCTTGAATAGCTTGCGTGATTTATCCTTGCAATATGGCCTGTCCACTTCTATATCTCTTTCGGCTTCTATTTATTCTGGAATCTGTCTGACTTTTCTTCTTTGTCGATTAGAGGATCAGACAAAGAACTAAGAGTTTTTCTTTCAGCACTTTCAATATAGGATTAAAAAAAATGAAATTTCTGCATTGCACAATTGTTAATGTTTTGAGACTGTCATATGAGTTATTTTAATCTACTACACCATCTCCGGGAATATACTTACCAGTATAACAAATTTGTTTTGACTCTTTGCTCTTCTTCAATCTTCCTGAAATTTGGTAGACGCGTAGTATAACTGCTTTGAGAAGGACATGGGCTAATTTTTGTCTGGGTCAATCAACATATCCCGGTTACGGGGACAAATTTGGCGGTAAAAATTAATGTACCGAAAATTTTTTCAAGTAAAAGTTCAAACATATTTATTTTAATACTTATAATTTATATAGGTTTTATTTTTAAGTGACTTTAAAATTGATAAGTATTTTTGTATAATCGCTAGAATTTACTCCCGTATTGGTCCCATATTAATGTGGTTCCGAACAAACCACGAGTAGCTATTTTTTCGAAACAAAATCTTAAATCATTCTCACATTCTATTACCTTAATTTTAATACTAATATCTGCAATAAAAGATTATACCTATTCTCTGTAATTATTAATAAATCGGATTAGACTAATCGCTTAGATTAAAATGAATAAACATCTAATTCTATGTATTGGTAAATATGTAATAAGAAAGTAATCAGTGTAATTGGTTGGGTTGATACTTGATAGTCATCAGGATGCAGTGAAAATTTCATTTTAGTAACATATAAGGTGATATAGCATAAAGCCTTATCTTTAGAAGATAGTGCGATAAGAAATTTGTTTGTTTATTAAGCATAAATCATAAAAAAAAAAAAATATTGGATGTTACTTTGTTCTATAGAGTACTATATATTTTAATGACTGTAATTAAATTCTTACGCAATAACAAAAAATTGACCTAGATATATCAGGTACATATTTTATAGGAGAGCCCTATGTTCAGTTGTGGACAGGTAATGGCTGATATGATGTGATAATGATGATATGTTTTATGTACCTGAGTAATCTACCCATAGCTGTACCTTAATTTATTTAAGTCCATTCAGTAATTTTCACAATTTGTTTACTTGTACAATAAAAAAAAAAAATCTCTACAATTATGACTGGAGTTCTGAAGTTCAGGCCGCGCCATTATGGGCGTAGCCAGTGGTAACAATCAGTATTTTGAATTACAGAGCCTGTCCGAGATATTGACTTGTCTGTAACATCTGACCCATCTATAATGTGTAACTGAAAACTGGTTTTTAAAGTTAATTCGGTTCTGACGTTTAATAAATAAACTGTAATAAATCAGACAAAATCTAAAATACTAACTCGTGTTAATATAAAAAATACCTCTCCGACAGGTTCTTATCGCATTTGTTTTTACAAGTTTTTAAAAGTAGCTCTTTTTATCCGAGTGTTATAAATTTTATTATCAACTTGCAGAACTTCAAACAAAAATGTAGTAGATACCTAATAACTGTTGCTATACCTTCTAGTTTTTGTAAAAGATTTATTTTATATGCCCAAAATTTGTAAAGGTCTAATTTAAAAACTGGTGTATGTTTTATCTTGGTCTCTTTTCATTTAAGAGTTTCCTCTTGTCGGTGCAACTTATTCATGCATCTTCTTCCAGCCAGCTCTATCCCAGGCCATATCCTTGACCTCCCTATACGACATGGCTGTATTTCGGTTTGAAGGGTGGGATATGGCATGAATTTACAGGGTACAAAGGAATAACACCTAAATCCTCAGGAATGGCAATGCATGGGGGATATCATGGGCAAAACAGTATACTCTGTTATGTCTATGGTACTGCTCATGTCTATAGGCGACGGTTACCACTTTCCATCAGGTGGGTCGTTAGCTTGTTTGCTATTCTAAGTTGTATAAAAAAAAAAGTTTTTTTCTGAAATCTAAGTACCGTGCAAAAAGTTAATAATCGTTCATCCACCGTACAAAACTGCTCTGTATTGAATAGCTAGCCTGTTATTTATTCTAGTGTATTTAATTATATAAATATATTTTTATTTTTACAGGCCCGTCTCCTACGGGGGGATTAAAGACTTGGTACAATGCCCTCTATGTCTGGAGACACTCCATAATGCAAAGATGCTACCCTGCCAACACACATTATGTATGGCCTGTCTCGGTATCTATATTGCTGGTATGTATTACAATAATATATTTATACCAATAAAAAATGCAATGAAATATCTGTATACGGAGTAATATCTATATAATCCCTTCGGAATTCATAACGTCTAAAGAATTAGGAGGGGGGAAAGATTGTTGGTAATGGTGATCTAATTGCCCCATTTTTGGCAATAAACCCTATTAAGTCAAACCCCTCGCAGTTTCTCTTGGATACCATCTTGGTTAATTCTTTAAAAATTCGTCACTATGAAGCAACTGTTTTATCCTCAACTATCATCTACTACTGGTATCCCGCCAGTATATATACCGATAGCGCAGGCGGGGTTACTATTCCATAATCACATATTAAAAAATCGAATAGAAGAGTAGCCGTCAATGTATTGAATTATGTTCAGGTGCTGGTTCATGTTTATAGGCGACGGTTACTAGTGGCAACTGGTGTGGCCAATCATAATATATGTTTTGTCGTTATGTTGATTAGTTGTAGGTACACAATTATGTAATTTCCCATCTTACATTCTTCTGCTAAGTGCCACACTTATCTTGTGCTCCTCCCAAATTCCAACCACAACATGCCAAACGTGACAACTACTGGCGACCCCCACCCCCTCCACTTCTCATTACGAGGAAGCTTATGTTCAGCAGTGGACAGTTAATGCTATGATGATGAAGCACAGGATACGACAGGAGCTTTCAGTTATGCGCAAATACATTGCTAACAATAAATGATGCGCCTTTTTAATAGGCCAAGTCCTCTGTATAATAATCGTTAAAACACCAGTGTTTATAGAGGAACAAATAAATCAAATGGTTTATTTATTTCTCTATAAATACGATGTAGGATTTACGATAAGTAATCTCGCTCGATTATTCTCAATATCTTAAAGATATTTTAAATCTTTTACTGACATTGAAAAGCGCGTCACTAATAGCTTAATACATGATATTATTAACTGTAATCTATTTATATACATATTTGGTATAGAATTCACAATCGACGTAGACAACACAAAATATGTTATATGAATCTAAGACCGTCCAAAAGAATAGCTAAGGGATCGTATAGTCCCAACAACAATTATTATTTTCAGTATTATAATATAGCGATTCGCATACACCGTTTATCATTACACCATCCTGAGCACATAGAAACAATATGGTCCATGCATGCCATCAACTAAAAAGAGAATGTTCTTCTCTCAAAGGTTGGTCGCAATAAGTGTTTTTCTTTCTACGTTTGAAGGATTCTAGTTTATAGGATAAATAAAACACGTCATAGTAAAGACAATCATTAAGCAATACTTTTGAACATCTTCTATTCAAAATTTTTCAGACGCCACAACTATTGAATGTCCAGTATGCAGAACCAAGATTCAAATAACTGGTCCGAATTTCGTCCAGGAGCTACCGTCCAATCTATACATCGATTCTTTACTACAATTAGTTGGTCTCAAATCGAAAACCTCACAGAAATCCGAAACACCACCTCAGACTCCAGCATTTAGTACTGCTACTTACCAAAGCGTAGATTTATTTGCGGCCGGTGTTAGATGCTCCCACTGCCAGACAATGTGTGATAACAGTGATACAATTAATTGCCAGCATTGTAAGATGGTAAGTTTAATATAATTTTTCACTTACATATTCTTTTTTTTACCATATGTTATTTCTTAAATGTGGTCAATAAATAATTAATCAATTATTATTGTTCTCTTATGCTAAATTTATAAAAATTAGCTGAAACAGAAATTATACAAAAGAAATAGTTCACGCAGAGAAAAATTTAAGAGGTGTCATCGCTTAATCAGACATTATTAGTTTTTAAGCGACTTCTAAGTGAAGGCAATTCTTAATTCATCTGATTTTTTAACAATCTTTTTTATAAACTTTCAATTTTTATTTTAAATCTTAATGTAAGATGTGCTTGCTCAGGCTCTGAACATTATAGATAAAAGCGTGGAAGACATATTTAATATATTGATGCAGTTTCCTCTTTTATTTAAAAAAAATCCTTAAGAGAAAGAAATCGTATAAATATTTTAATATTAAGTTTTTTTTTTTTATTTCTTTTCTAGTCCACTTCATAAAATTATATTTTTGTTACAAAAATGTAAAATTACAATTTAGATAAATAGCTTCTAAAAAAAGATATAATAATATCTATTTTCAATATAATATCGCTATAAAATTAATATTTCTTATATTGTGCAGAACTTCTGTCACGTGTGCTGGTCAAACCACTTAGACGACATGCAAACACAAGTAGGATCCATTCTAAAACAACTCGACTCCGCCTCAAACCGACTTCGACATAAAATCGAACACTTTAAGGTATGTTTTAAATATTTCATTTAAATAAACCATATTGTATCATTATATAATTATGTTTGTGTCAATTTTCGATCATTTTTATTTTATTTTTGATGGAGGTCCCCCATAAAAAGCTTGTATTCGGTGTTTTTCTGCTATCATTTTTGTAGCAATAATTATGTATATTTATTGAGACTTATACGCCGTGTAGGTCCATGCATAGAATAGGTGACCCCTTCTTTTCTCGTGGGTATTTGTAAGAGGCGATTAAAGGAACTTATGGTCGAGGGATGGGCAGCAGCGTCTCTCTTAAAACATCACCAAAAGCCTAATTGCGGTTGCCAACCTGCCTGCCAAGCAATGGCAACTGCTGGCAAAACCTTTCCAATTATGGAGAAGGTTTATGTTCAGCAATGGATAATTAACTTTCGACCTATAAGTACACTGATGTAGTGCTGTCATGTCTCCGCTTCCAAGACAAGAGTATTTTCTTCTACCCATCCATGTAGACGTAACCTTGTCGAAACATCGAAATAATATCGAATAATTAAGGTAAATTATGATAGTTTATCTAAATGATGGCGTTAATTCAAGTAAGTAAAACATACGCCATTTAAATTGGAAAATAAAATTAGAGTAATATGTTAACATTACAGGATCGTTGTGAACATCTAATGACACAAATCGAAACAACGGCCAGCGAAAAGATAAATGCTATAATCGAATCAAAAAGAAAATTGTTGAAAGAAGTTTCAGAACTACAAAAATCAGGAGATCTCTCTGCGTTAGCTCTAAATACATCTCTGGAAGACGCCAAAACAGTAGCGACACAAGTTATGGCATCTAAAGAAATTGGAAATGATATGAAAAGGGTACGTTGAACATTTGTTTATCCTATTTTTTTACAATATGGTACATGATATCTTACCTCAAAATAATTTTGCTGCAACAAAACTGTAGTAAGCAAAATAATAATACAACAATAAAATAAGATATATTTGATTATAAATAGATACTTTACATTTTAAATTGTAATGAAAACTGTGTAACTGTCCAAATTCAATTGATGGTAAATATCTACACTAAGAAATTAAGGGGCAATTGAGTCGATTCTGGGGCGCTATTTAACTATCTTTAGATCATTAGATATTAATTTAAATTTGATAATTTCATGCAATTACTGTTTTCATAAACTAAATTTATGATAACTTTGACTTAAATCTGTTAAATATTTAGTTCATATTGGTTTTCAAAATAAAAATTTCGCTATGATACCGAATTCAAATTTTAATTTCATAAATAGGTTTAGAAATTGGCGCGTCAGAATGGATCTCATTATTGCGAGCTTCCATTACGTATATTATTTGGCTTTGTACCCCAGCTGAAATTTTCTTTTTAAACTTTTTTACCTGAAGGAGACTGTACAAAAGTCGTTTACCTCTGGTGTCTCTGTCCCATTGTACCGTGAAGAAGTTGTGTTTCGGTTTGAAGAGTGGGATATGGCAGTGAATTTACAGCGCACAGAGGAATAACACCTTAGTCCTCAGGAATGGCAATGCATGGAGGTATCATATGCGAAACAGTACACTCTGTTACATCCATGGTACTGCTCATGTCTATAGGGGACGGTTACCACTTCTCATTAGGTGGGCGATTAGCTTGTTTGCCATTCTAAATTGCATCAAATAAATACTCTATTTACAATAATTAGCAGTCATGTGCTATGACTAATGCCTATAAGTGCGAATATTAAAGTCGGAACCTTCAAAGTAATCAAAGGAATCGCGCGGGCGGCAATCAGACGCTTTGTTTCGTTTTATCAATGCTATGATCGCACGCGCGGCTTATTTTAATAGTTTTGAAGTTACCGACTTCAAAGTCCGTGATACTTCTAACCAATACCTACCATGGGGGAGAAAAGGATTTATTGTTAGTAACGGGGGCTATCAGTCCCATTGCTAACAATATACACTATTAAGTCGATAACCATACGGTCTCTTCTGGAAACATGGTGAATTCGTCACGATAGGCCAACTGACCTGCTTTCATCCTCACCTATCATCACCTACTGGTATCCCGCTAGCAAACATTGATAGCGTAGTAGGCGGGGTTACCATTCTGTTATCGTCTATAAAAAAACAACTATTACCTACCCATGGAGTGCAGATACGATGCAGTTTGTGACAAGAGTACACGACCCACGGTGGGAAACCATATGTATACAAATCTACAAAAGGGTAATAAACAAAAGATAACAAAGAAGTATAAAAAATACCAGTTTGGAAAAACGAGACATAAAAGCTATATTTAAATACCTAGCTGCGTAAAATTGTTTTCTCTTATCAACTTATTAAATCACAATAATGGAATGATTGTGAAAATTGATGAAATATATTGATATAAAAAAATCGATACGAAGCTATTTATTTGTTGATAATATATAATAATATCATTTATGTTTACGTCACCCTATCAGTAGATTTAAAACAAATACATTGTAGAGTACAAAATAAAATACCTATGCATGGTTTCAGGTATCAACCTTTATGAATTTGCACCAGAACGCGTTACAAATACTCGTGGATGTATCTAAATGGGACACGGAACACTTCGTGTTTGACAAAGAGAATTTTAGAATAGAAAAAGACAACGAGACGCCGTTAGACGCAGAATCTGATGACCCTGTCCAGAATGGAATTAAGCAAAATAATCCACTGGAAAATGACAATAGCTTGAGCATGCATTATAGGTAAATACATTGGTAATCGTAGTTAGGTTTTGATGATGTTTTATGACGGACATTGCTACCCATTCCGCAACCATTTAGTTCACTTAGTCGCCTCTTATAACACCCACGGGAAAGTGTTACCCATTTTATGCTGGAACCACGCAGCGATATATTTTACTGAGTAATGGCTAATAATAGCATTAATGTGAAACAAACTTTATGTTAGATGTATCACCTAAGGTAAAATTAATCTAATTTTTAGATGCCGTAGTTTCGTACCCCATTACGTATGGCGCAAGACAACACGACCATGCGGCATCGGCATAGGCCCCTGGAACGGGCACCTATACATCTGCGACATGGACTCCCATAGTGTTCTAGTTGTGGAGCGATCACAAGCCAAGATCGTCACAAGACTGGTGTATAACGAGATGCTGTGTCCTGTACAAATCGCATTTATGAAAAGTTTGGGGGAGATATATGTCTCAGGTCTGTTGCGATTCGCCGTGTCTTGCAAGATATTGTGTTTGGTGAATGAGTAAACTGGACTCGAATTAGGGATGCGTCAAAGGAATTAACCAGAGTGACAAAATGTATTCACTACCATTAACATAATTATTGATTTCAAAGGACGAAAAAAAAAGGATTTTGCACAGAGCTGTTGTTAGTTTGGATCCTGGAAGTAAAAATACGATATATTACTACAATTTTTTTTTATCTCAAAGATGTTAGAAGGCAAAATGGGGAATAAAGTATATCATGTTGCGAAACTTAAAAAAAAAATACCCCAAGCTGCTTGACCACTTGCAATAATAAGGGTCTAATTCCTCACTAACAGAAAATTTTAAAAGTCAATAAACTTTAATTTTAAAATGTTTATTAAACGTTTTAAGAAAGGGATTAAGTATGAAAGATCTTCCTTAACATCCATCCAATGTTAAGGAAGAGGACGGAAGAAAAGATTACGTGTGAAATTTATACGAGTATCCATAAATAATGAGTGAACTTAGGTATGACAGTTGACAGGGATTTGTGGAAGATGATATACTGCGCAGACCCTAAACAATATGAGAAAGGCAAGGAAAATATGGTTTACCAGAAACAATTTATTAAATCTTTTATTGATGTCTGAAATAGAATCATTAAGTCCTAAAGTTCTTTTTTTTAGTCCAAGGACACCTAATGGAATGCTTTCATAAAATGCAATGTAAACTTTTAATGTGCAGACAAATGGAAGCACTGCGTGCACGTGTTCTCCAAGGACGGTGAATACTTGAGGTCTCTCGGGCAGAAAGGCAGCCGTGACGGACTGTTCAGATCTCCAGAGGGAATCGCCACAGACAACGCTAATCTGCATATTTACGTGGTCGACACTGGCAACGATAGAGTGCAGGTATTATTCATTCATATCGTGAACTAGTATACAACTTATAGATTACTTAAAATAATGGATTTACTGTAATTGTAAATGATTTAAAATATATGAAAAATATTAACTGCCTACAATAAAGGCATTTTTTTATGGAACTTAGAATGGCAAATAAGCTGACGGCCCACTTGATGGAAAATGGTAAACGTCGCCTATAGATATGAGGAGTACCATGGATATAACAGTATACTGTTTCGCCCATGATACCCCCCATACACCCCATACATTGCCATTCCCGAGGGCTCAGGTGTTATTCCTCTGTACTATGTAAATTTACTGCCATATCCCACCCTTCAAACTGAAACAATCGTTAAAACAATAATAATAATGGTAGCAGAAGTTTTTATGTACTTAATATTTTTATTACCAAAATTTTAAAAATATTCTTCCTTCTTGTTAGATTGCTAAATCCATCACAACAAGCCGCATGTGTGTTATCTCAAATAGGTTCTTATCAGTAAATGTATTATTTGCAGATAATACAACCTGACGGCCAATTTGTCGACCAAATAGGCGTGACTACAAAACAACAGGTCAGTCCCACTGTAGCATGGGAGGTTACCACCGTGATATCTACAGAGTTCAACGCACCTACTGATGTAGCAGTCACCAGCGATCGAATTATTATACTCGACAGCGGAAACCGCAGGGTCAAGGTATACAACAAGCAGGATAAAAGCAAAATATATGAGTTTGGATCTATCGGACAGAGGAAAGGCCAGTTCAGACAACCAGAAGTATTAGCTGTAGATCCTATGGGTTTCATCCTAGTTGGAGACTCGGGTAATTGTAGAGTCCAGGTTTTCAAACCCAATGGAGCAGTTGTCCGAGTTTTCGGAGGCTACGGAACTGAACTTGGGAAATTTGGGTGGATTTCCGGCATTTATGTTACGAAGCAATTGGATATTATAATTAGTGACTCCAGAAATCATAATGTCAACTTTTTCTAAATAAAAAATATAGGTTTTATAACAATATTTTATTTGATGGAAACAAATTTAAAAATATGTTTAGTTACAAATTAAAATTATATCTTAATGATATAGCACAATAATATTTATTTAATGTGTAAAAAATAAACTTTAAAATAATTGATGGGTTTTATTTCAGAGCGAAAAATATATCACATGTATTTCGAGATTAATTTATTAGACCATTTTGTTATTTATTTAAGAGATTCAATTTAAAATTAAATTATTTAAAATCTTGACTCGTAATTTAGGCCATAAAATGGCAAAAAATGAAATTAGTAAATAATTACTATATCATGTTAAAATTTTTAAATTTAATATTAACTTTGTAAATTATGAATGGACGTCACGGCTACAATTCCGTTTAATGTCAAAAACTTAGATTATATAGATAGTGTCTCCATACAAATGCTTCGACAAAAGCGGGTCAACTTCTTCATACAATTATGCGTGATAAATAGTTATGAGCGATTCTTTTATAACTTATATATTTATTTTATCTTATAATTTTTGCATCTTTTTAATGCGTAAATAATTATTTTATCTATTAAATATTACGAGAGGTAAGATCAAAGCTCAGCTAATTTGATAATTACCTGACAAAAAGTTGACCCATTTTTGGGGTTCGAGGCTCTATCTGTATAATCTAAGGTCAAAAAGTTAAAATTGCTTCAATAACTCTTAGAAGTATGCAAAATAATGACGCAAATCTACAGAACGTGCATAATTGTTCACGAGAACATAAAATCTATAAGAAAAATTATATATTAGATAAGTACATATACATTTTTTTCATTATATAATTATATTTCCAAATTAGCCGTGTAAATAATCACTGAACATCCATAAAAATCTCTAGTCTGGCCTATAACACCAAATACTAAATATATATGGCTCATATCAGTCTCGATTAGGTGGTTCACGAGTTAATTACTATACAATTATTTACAACATCGAAACTGATTTTCTAATTACTAAAACATAACCAAATTATACTTAACAAAAATGAGAATATATCGACGTAATATGTACTTAAAGCCATAGAAAATAAGATCTCATTTTGTGACCTATCACAAAATTCTCAATCTTTGATCGTTTGATTATTCAATTTTACTTATATTTATAGTATAGTCAGCACATTAATATGTGTATTCGGTTTGTGTAGTAAAATAGTGTATAAATAATTAATTGTAATTATTTTTTTAATATATTGTTCAAAATCTATTATTATATTAATGTACTGAAAAAGTAAGATGTATTTATTGCTTGTGATTAATTAGAGGAGGTAGGTTTGAATTAGTTTTGGTTAGAATGCAAAAGAAACTTTCGCATTTTTATGCATAACTATTTAAATTTATAATCTGGGCTTAACGGGACACGACTACCTTTCGTAATATCGTCGCATCTCCTTAAATCCCAAAAAAGAATTTAAATAAACGTTAAATATAATCATAATTATACATTATAGCGTCCAAATTGACTAGGTACTACTTTATTAATTTTGATAAAATGAATTGTGCAATTTTGTTGTCCTAAAAAGTACCAATAATCGTGTAGAATTTTGTAAACAGATTCTTTAACAATTAATTACTTACTTAAATAAAAAGTTGATACTTATGTTTAAAAATATTACAACAAAATAATTTACACTTCAATATGTTGTGACAAGAGAATTAAAATAGTAATAATTATAAGTGGGCAAAAAAATTACGTATTGATATATTTAGGAGAGTTACATCCTATTGCTGCCTCTAGGCATTATCTGTAATAATCGGGTATCAAAGGGCTATTATGCTAGATTTAGTTTATTATTTAAAACATAGCACCTGCAGTTATTATTACCTTCTTTTCTTAATATCAAATTATATACTCCATCCCTCTTATTACATTTCGAAATTACATATTTAAGAATATAATCGAAAAAAATATACTTAACATATTTCATTCAAAGAATACAATAATTAAAAAAAAAAAGATTTATCACAAAAATAAAATATTTTCAATAATTTTCTAAATTCAATATACAGTGTTTGTACATATATTAATACAAGTATAAGTTGATGTGAAGTGGTGAACACATTTTAACACTATATGTCTATATAATAATTATTTTATAATATTTATACAGAAATATATCCTGGGGAACAATTCTTTTACCCCAAAAATATAAAAAAAAAAACTTATATACTGAAAATTGTCTATCGAAATGTATCAACAAATGTTTAATTTGGAATAGTAAACAAGAGATAGTCAACAGACGATACTTATAACTGCTTAAAAATAAACAGCACTGACGTCACAGTATACACCGTGACACCCTTTATGCTAATCACGCAAAAATCACCACAGCCAATTTATACTTGTTCACTGTATAAAGTGTACAATAAAGTACAACTAAAAAAAGACAGACTACACAAAATTACCTAGAATGGCAAAGGATCTTCATTTAGGACGAACGGCATGGTTGACATCTACTTACAGAGTGACTTTCACCTAATACTACAGAGTCAGACTCAATTGGTGGTCCCTCACTGTTGTCATGCTGTCTCTGTAAAGACATAATCATATGGTCAATACAATGCAATATACAGAAAATAAACTCATAGTCAGATATAGAGAAACATCTAAAGTAGCATGGGTAAAGTAGGTGTCATGGCTTGGCTTGAGTGGCTCAGACAAAACAAATTTCCCCTTTCATGCATATAAAAAAAAAACATGTAGGTGAAAAATGTGCAATTTTTTATCATGTCACTATTAGTATATACTTTATTAATTAATACTCTACTATGAAGCGCACAAGCTATTAATTGTACTATTTTGACAGACTGCATTTCTTTGATAATTTTAATATTGGAGTAGATTTTTATAGTAGAAACGTTGAAATAGGTACTAACATTCGTCATTCCCATAAAAATGACATAAAAGGCAACTCATTGTATGAACAACTGAGATACGAATGTTAATATGGATGTGCAGCGTGACAAAAGTGGATAAGATAAAGAATGGGTATATAAGAGAAAGTAACATCAGTAATGGGGAAGTTAAGAAGTAGTTATTTCTCATAGTATGGGCATATGATGCGAAGGAAAGAAGAGAATGTGGTAAGGAAGGTTTTACGCATGAATATGAATAAGTGCAGAGGGAGACCTATAAAGAGATGGAGGGACTGTATAAAAAAGGGCATGACTAGAAAGGGAGTGACTAGTGAGATTACTGCAGATACAAATGAACGGAAATGAAAACATATCACGCCGATCCCAAATAGGTATGGGAAAAATACAGAAAGAAGAAAAATTTGTCAATCACACACACTCAATGATTTTATGGATATTTCTAAATGCCTAACACAACATGAAACCTGCATTAAAACAGCAATTGAGTTTAGGCAACCTAAATCTTTTGTTATATGCACTTTTCAAGGTATTGCTTAATATCCGTGCCATTGTTTTTTGTTACACAACTAACACAATAACTGCTGGTAATGGGTTCTGAATGATTCTTTATTTTTAATGTCGCCAAGAAATCTTAATTGTCTTTATAGATATTAACATATCCTACTACATATTATTTTATTATTGTTGTATTGATAAATAGCATATTCATTATAATTGTTCAATCATTTTTTACCACGAAAAATTATTACTTTATAACTAGGTACACCTAATATTGGAAAAGGATTGTTAGCAATGAAGTTTGACAGCCCCGTCGCTAGCAATATACCTTATTAAGTCGACCTCCACGTGGTTCCCCCTGGAAACCATCGTAAACAATTCTTGTTGAATTCGTCACAATGGGCTAACTGACCTGCTTCATCCTCACCTATCATCCTTCACTGGTGCCCCGCACATATATATATATATATATATATATATATATATATATTATGCCTTACCATATTCCGTAGTTTCAGTACCATTTGGGATATGGTAACTTTTTATGGAACTGGTAAGTCCCTTTAAACTTTAATATGGAAACGTAAGCAAAACTGCAACAAGTAGGCAGTAAAAATATGACTGTAGCAGAGGTATACCTAAAAACGACTTTGTAGTCTCCCTCTGGTAGCAGTTGTAACTTTAAAAAATTCCCAAAAAAAAATCTAAAAATCTAAGTGACTAAATTACCTTCAGCTCTGTAGCCAAACTACGGAATGTGTCTTCAACATTAGTATTATCTTTAGCTGATGTTTCCATCACAAACATTATCTCAGGTACATAGCGACAGAAGGATTTCGGTTCATCAGGTTCCACCTCTCTTTGTTCAGTTAAGTCACATTTGTTGCCAATCAACGAAACTATTACATTGGATGATGTGTATCTTCTAACTTCTTCTATCCATTTTTGAAGTGATAGAAACGTTGATCTTTTTGTTATGTCATATACTGAAATATAAAAATTAATTCGTAAACAAATTAATAAAATGATAATATGTTAAAAATTCAATATGCAAACAATATAGATAATAAAAATAATCATCAAAATCAGTTCAGAATCGGGGCATCCAAGGATATATACAATTCTACTATATAATTATATATAAGATTATACATAAGAATTTTGTAAAGATGTATCAATACTTGTTCCTTAATTACACTTAAACGGTTGAACAGATTTGAACAAAATTTGGTACACACGTAGGTTATATTGTAACTTAATATACAAGATATACTGATGCATATGGACAAAGCCATGAGAAATTGTTATTTATATATAAAATTAGAGTATTTTTTTTTAATCCCTTAATATATAAGTATCTTTCGTTTAAATTTAGTTATTAAATTTGTATCTACAAATTACATATAATACATTTTTTTTTTTTTTTTTTTTTTTTTTATACAACTTAAAATGGCAAACAAGCTGACGGTCCACCTGATGGAAAGTGGTAACCGTCGCCTATAGACATGAGCAGCACCATGGACATAACAGAGTATACTGTTTCGCCCATGACACCCCCCATGCGATGCCATTCCTGAGGACTCAGGTGTTATTCCTCTGTACCCAGTAAATTCACGCCATATCCCACCCTTCAAACCGAAACACAGCCATGCAAACACAACTGCTTCACGGTTGAAATACGAATGGGACATTGTAAATTCATTGACATTGTAAATAAGAAGAGCATTGGAAATTCTATTTAGGTATATTGTATTAATGTTTATACCTATATAATACCTACCTACTATTACTCCATTGGCTGAACGATAATAACTCTGAGTGATTGTCCTAAATCTTTCTTGTCCAGCAGTATCCCATATCTGCAGCTAAATTAATTATATTATTAAATACAAAATACATTATTCTTAACACGTTGAGCGCCATGTCAGTCATCGGTGGCTGACAGCGTGTAACATGAGAACTATAAAATTTTACACTTATTTACGGAATTACAGAAAAATTATTTAAAATTTATAGGAATCACGTTCCAAACGTAAACTACCTTCTACTACGATAGGAAACACCAGCTCCTGCAGTACCAGCGCTTCGAAGCGGCGCGCGTGGCCTGAACGAAATTGCTGTAGAAATACGCGTGGCGCTCAACGTGTTAATAATATTATTTTAAAAACACTTTCAATTTCTCCACATTTGTTACAATAATTATCTATTGGATTCAAGAATGACAATCTTGGATTGCACAGACGAAAACAAACCTCTGAATATGGCTTAAAAACATGAAACTGATAAGGTATTTATTGTAACAAATTTTAAAGCAGTAGAAGGATTTCTGTAATAATATAAATAACTATTCATTATGTGCCAACAACAAATAGGTAGATCCTCTTTATTATTTCCTCCAAAAGATTACAGTAATAAACTTATTATAGATACAAACATTTAGAAGGAATGTTCACACTGAGAAAACAATGCCTGGTCTTATCACTAAAAGCGATCTCTTCCAGGCAACCTTTGGATGGAGAGGAATAGTTATAAACAGTTTTATCGGAAGCATGATGAAAATTTTATTGTTTTAAATAAATATAGAGATGAAATATATTCAATAATGTAAATATACATATCTACTATCTATTAAATATACATACATCTACTTAAATACATATATATCCACTTACATATATACACAAGACAAACAATTATAAAATTTTTATGTATGCAAAGAAATAAGCATGACAACTAGACAAGCAAATTACGATGATGACACTTGCTCAAATAAAAATCCTTAAGTTTTGTCCTTTAAAACTCGGCAGACATTCTATATTTCATAGAGAAATTGGTAAATTATTCCATAGCCATACAGCTTGCACCGTAAATGATTTGTCATAAAAACTAGAAAAATGTACTGGCATCTTCAGTTGGAGGCCCTCAAAAGACCTTAGATTAAGGGAAGTGACAGAATGTAGAAAATCAAACCGCTCCTTCAGATAGTGAAGGAAAGAAGAGTTAAAAGGATATTGTGGAGCAGTGAAAGAATGTGAGTATTTCGGCGAAAATGAATAAGAAGCCACTTGAGCTTACTGTAAAACTGGGAAATGTGATCATATTTTCTAAGACCAAAAATAAACCTGATAAAAATGTTTTGAAGACGCTCAAGATTGTTAAGTTTGTATTCCGTAAGATTCGGATAACAAGTATCAGCATAATCAAGAATTGGGAGTAGAAGAGATTGGGATAGTGCAATTTTGGTAGGAGTAGGTAGAGAATTACGCTATCTACAAAGTGAACATACAGACCTGAAAACTTTCTTGCTGACAGATTCTAATATCTACATACATTTTTTTTTAATAAATTTTATGCAACTTGGAATCAGTTGTAGAACTATAAGCAGTTACTCTATGGGGTATGTGCTCACATAGTTATTAATCCTTTTTGACTTGTTAAAAAACCTATTCTTATTAATTTAAGGATAAATCTGGTGTCAGAATAGTAGGTAACATAAGCATTTGTATTATCATCATTTTATTAATTAGAACATGAAGCATGTTTTATTAAACAATCATGTATATGAATCCCACTCTATCGCTTACAGGGTATATTGTGTTGTGTATGCATGTTCTCCTAGTGATGAACCGCCTTTATATCAGATATACTTCATATCTTTAAAATATTCCAGCCCCAATTCCTCCAGATTTTTTCATTAAAAAAAAATTAAATGACAAATATCTGGAAAAATTCAGGAGACTAGGATAAATAAATTTATTAAAATAATAATTGAAGTGTACTTAAAATAATAATTTGGATTATTGCGAGTGCTAAGTCTTGAATGTGACTTGTTCTAATATATAATTTATTATTAGTTATAAGTTTCTTTTATAATTTAATCCATCTAGACCTGATCCATCTAAGTCCATCTATAACTGAAATAAAGGTAACCAAACTAAAGATAAATAGGTAAAAGTAATATTTTTATTAGATAAGATGAAACAACACTGTGACAAAATTAGTAATAAACTTAATATTTTGCTACAAACCTTGACCTTCTTCCCATCTACTATTAGCGTTTTCATAGAAAAGTCGACGCCTATCGTATTTCCGTGACTTTCAATAAAATTCCCAGACTTCAAACGTTGCACGATACATGTTTTTCCTGTTCCGCAATCACCGATCAATACAATTTTGAATAGATAATCAAATTGTTCATCTGGGATACTCATAAGCGTATTAGGATTACGGCTGCTCATTTTTAAAACTAGGATTTTAATTTAGGAAAATATTGAAAAACTCTGTTTACAATGCTAATTTGACAATGTATCGACAATTTTGACATTTATTTGATTCTGTTTTTGTTTTAAAGTTCACCCAAATTAGACGACAAAAAACATAGTCTATACAGCCAATCATACATTTATTTTCATATTGTTTATAAAAATATTTACTTTATAATGTACACAAATCTGCTTATAAACAAGAAGCAAATAACCCCCTATAATAATAATTGATATTATATTCTTATTTTTACTGTTCTATTTCTTCTTCTTCTAATTAATTAATCTAATTTTGGACGAAGTCTAAAACAACATTAGTATTGATTGACAAGCAATCATAGTATCAGCACTGTCAATCAACTGTCAATGCCATTGAAATAAAAAAATTTACATCAAGTCTAATCAAATATTAATAAATATTTTCTTATATTTATTTTAAGTTTATCACGATTAATATGGTCATATTTATGATAGATAGGTAGATTTTAATATAAAAAAAAATATGTATCGATCAACTTTTCTTTGCTGTACATTTATCTTCATATTTTTTATACATTCCAATCAAGGAGTAGAGGTATATAACTTCACCACTTTTTGTCACATTACAATTGTTTATTATCAGTTTAAAAGTAAGGAAGAATTTCTTTTAATTTCAGATCCCAGAAAAGTTTCAAAAATCGAATCATACTAATAACTGGGCCGTTCTGGTAGACACATCACGATTTTGGTTCAATTACCGGCACGTAGCCAATGTGTTATCTATTTATCGTAGTGTCAAGAGGCTGGGTATACCTGACAGCCAGATTATTCTAATGATATCTGACGACATGGCCTGCAATCCACGAAACCCTCGTCCGGCGACAATCTTCAATAATGCACATGAACAGATTAATGTTTACGGGGATGATGTAGAAGTGGATTACAGGGGATATGAAGTATGATTCCTCCTAGTTTTTCTATAATATTTAAAATTCATTATTATAAAGATATTAAAAATCATGAATACAATGTATTAATTGAAAAAATGTGTTTTCCTAAACTACACAAAATATTGCAAAAATTTGTACCAATAAGTTTATTAGTATGTCCATACATGAATACATTGATCTAGATATAAACTCCTTGTATATATTACTGTATAACTGTTTGTCTTTTGTAATTAATACAATTAATTAATTGTTAAATTATTTCAGGTATCTGTAGAGAATTTTATTCGGTTGCTAACTGGTAGAGTTCCACCAGACACACCCCGTTCTAAAAGGCTGCTTACAGATGAAGGCAGCAACATTCTGATTTACCTAACAGGCCATGGTGGAGATGGTTTCCTTAAATTCCAAGACTCAGAGGAAGTTACCAGTCAGGAATTAGCTGATGCTCTTGAGCAGATGTGGCAAAAGAAAAGGTATTCTTTATTATTCTTGTTAATGTTATAAATTTTAAAGTAAGTTTGTTTGTTATTTCTTGATACTTGAAAAACTATTTAGTCACTTACCATCAGGTGAGCCACATGCTCGTTTGCCCCCTGTGTTGTAAAAAAATAGTTTACCATCAGACAGGCTGTATACTTTTTTGCCTTTGTAGTATAAGAAACTAAACCTTTGTTTTGAAATTTGCTGTGCATATGGTATTTGAGAAGAAGAAGGATATAAGTTACTTTTTCCTATTATCAAACAATATATCCCAGTCACGCAATGTTATTGGTAAAAAACTAAAAAATATTCTGTATGCTATTTACCAGTAAAGTCTATTATCCATATCCTAAATATGTGTATAGAAATATTTTATTAGTTAATTAATGAAATAATTATTTTTTCTTTAAGAATGAATATATTTTAATTTTTCTGATTTGTTTTTATTTTCAGGTATAATGAAATATTTTTCATTATCGACACATGCCAGGCATCTTCCATGTATGAGAAATTTTATTCACCAAATATATTGGCAACAGCTAGTAGTTTAGTGGGAGAGGATTCACTTTCTGTAAGTTTAAATATAGTTTATATTTCTAATTCATATTCAACAAAATACTTTCTATTGATATTGGAACCAATTATTTTCTTAAAAATATTTATAATTGAAATTACAGATAAGGATTAGAAATAATAAAGTAACTATATGACTTGTAGTCAAACTTGGTTTATATTTACTTAGTATCAAAATTTTTATTTTTTATGAATATTATATAATATTTATAGATTTACCACTATAAGAAAAAAAATTATTGTTTATGTGTATAATAATGTTATTACAAGCAATTTTTAAACTTTTCAGCATCATGTTGATTCTGCAATTGGTGTTTATATCATAGACAGGTACACTTATTATGTATTGGAATTTCTAGAAAATGTACATCCAACAAGCAAAAGGACTATGTCTGAATTTGTAAGTAAACTACTTTTTTATTTCCATTAATCAATATATAAATTTTCCTTTCTAAAAAAGTCTATCAAAATAAATCTATACTATTTTTAAAAATGATACTAATATAGTATTATATTATCTATGTATATTTGTGTAAAAAATACATGTTCTATATTTAAAACTACTTTATATACAGTTTTTTTATACCATTCATGTTTATCCTCCTATTATTATATTCATCCTTATCCTTATGTAATTCAGGCAGACCAATGTAATAATCAGGCTACATTTATTTTATTTTTTTTATTACAATTACTGATCAAGTATCAATAAATACTAATCTATATTATACTCCATTTAGTTTTCAATGTATGGTTTTGAACTTCCTATTGATAGTGAATATGGTAGAAAAATGGTACAATATTTTATACTTATGAAAACGTGCCATGGAATGAAGTATGTTTATTGATGTATTTTTAAATTCCCGTAATAATATTTAATACTTACTTTGTTTTTTTTAGTTGGCAGTGTGTCCAAAAAGTGCATGTTTATCAACAGTAGGAGTTCGTCGAGATCTATTTAAACGGGACCCAGATAAGGTGCCTATTACTGACTTTTTTGGTTCAGTACGCCCAGTTATTATTACTACTGAGCCTATTAACATAATAGACATACCAAAGAGAAAGAAGACTAACACGTAAGTATTCTCTACAGTTTAGAATGAAAATTATTTATAACAAGTATTTTTTTTTTTAAAAAACACCTCAATTGTGGGAAAATTAATATGTGGGAACCCTATAGTTGATAGCTCAATAAGAAAACAATCTTATAAACATCGGTCATTATTAGTGAAGATTTTACGTAACATACACACACATGAAATACAAGTAAATTAAAATTGATCGATCCTAAACTTTTTGGAAGTCATTTAAAACTTTTTTTTTTATTTATGATTGACAATTTTTTTGTTAACAGTTTCTATTTTATCTTACAGAAACAAATCTGCAACACCAGAGAAGCATGAATATATGCCTCAATTTCCTATGCATTTATTACAAACCACAAAATGAAATAAGGATTTTAAGTTATTAAAATAAATCATAAAATTGAGACGATTTTATTTTATTCAGAGGAGTAAATGAAAGCCACACTGAAATATTAAATAGGTAATTTATTTTTCTATAAGTACTAAGAATATTTATTTGTTTAACATTATGTAAACACAACCAATTCAGTTACCGTTGGAATCTATAACATAACACATAATTAGCAACAAGTTTTACTGCATCCGCATCTCACAATTTGATATGAGATCAAAATCTAAAGGACTATAGCACCATTTCAGTTACAATCATAGGCCATATCTTTTTGGTCTAATATTCTTTCCATACTAACTATAACGCTTGTACATATAAACACAACAGCGAAAGCAAATTATATTATATTACATTTTTGGTAATTTTATTAATATTGCATACATTTGCATGTGCCACAACCAGTTCCCAATCTAACAATTTTGCCGTTCCGGGCAAAATAATATTTAACCTTCTTTATAACAGCCAGTTATGTTTTTACATACCCCCACCCTGAATCAGGCCCTGGTCACAAATTTATTTTATAAGCAACATCTTTTTTTGTTTTACTGTTCATTATTGTACCGTATAAATACAACATTAGATATTTCATATTTTCATAAACATTAAATTTTAAAGTTCGTGAAAACTGGTTTGCTAATAATTTAATACAATATATGAATGAGCTCATATTTTGAGATATTTTTATGAAGTTGGGTGTTTAATTTAAACTCAATGTAACCCTAAGACTAGACCCATATTATAAAATGGAACTAAATGTTATAGTTTGTAAACCTCAAATGCCATTACTATTTATAATAGCTATTTCAAGGAATAGTAATTTTTAGATTAATAGACTATCTAGTCTGAACAATAGACAGAAACATCTACACCATTTATTTTGACGTTTTTAAGCATACATCTAACTACGATAATGCCTGTTTATTGTTTACTACAACTTATTGGAAGGAATTATTTTAAATTTCGACAAAAAAATATTATTTAATTAATAGTTATGATATTGCGTATATTAAAAAAAATACTACTTTATTAGATAACATTCAATTTATCATTTACACATTTGCATAAGAAATAAATATAAAATGTGCATCATGTAACCATACACAATGTAATTATCATAAAACAATACAAAATTTAACGAATAAATACTTAAAAAAAATATATCAACATTAATATTTCTAGTACCTTATATGTACTGCAAAAGGAGTAACTTCTCAAATGATTTAACTTGACAGATAATTATCAGATAAATATAAAAAAAAATACACAATATTCTAATTACATATTATAATAACATTATGACTATTTATACGGAGAGCTATTGACTTCGTAAAAAACTAGAACATACCATACGAGAACAATTGTAATGATATTTGAATCATTACAAATAAATATTAAATATATGAAATGCTGAAATTGTTTATTAAAGAGGCCAAGGAAGTATATAAAACAGATTACATATACAGCGATGCTTAGGTGTATGTGGCTATCATGGTGTTACAGAAGCCTGTACTTGTATGCTAACACAATAAACTGATGAACAACGCAGATTAGAGTCTGCGACTATGGTATTGAAGATATTCTATTCTATACATAATCACCACTTATGAAAACTGTCTGTAGTGGTGAATACATACACTTAGGTATAATTAAAATGAAAACACGGTAACTATTATGACATTAAAAACATTACAAACGTTATAATCTTTAATTATCAACTACAACAATTTAGCAACATGCGTATCTAATAATTGTTTTTATTGAATATAAATAATTTGTACTTACAAATAATAAGATCATTATTATGCAGATGTTTCGAACGGATGGCATCATTCTAATGCAAATATATACAGGGTATAACGGAAAGGGCAGCAATCTGATATCCAGCTATAGTAGATAGGTATAGGTGCGTATGAAAATGATCAACTTTCGCCATGGATAGAATAATGAAAATAATTTTTAGCTATCATATGTACTCGTATCTACACTTTTCTCAACAAAAGCGCCAATTAGTGTATTACAACGAATTTAATATTGATAGCTTAGATAGTTAGCACTATCCTCCTTATTAAATAAATTTTGAGCAAGAGATTTCTTAGACATGTTATTTTGAAAATATACATATTTTAGAATGCATAATCATATCCAAAATTAGATTTTGTTTCGCAACAGGCATTTTTTGTTTCGAAAATTAAACTTATCGCCACCAGTTTAATAAAGAAATAACACGGAAATAAAATCTATCAATTGTAAAAATAATTATCAAAATTCATTCATAATTTGCGACATAGTTGCGCAACGTTCATACAGAATAGCTGAATTGAGAATCTTCTCTGGGAAGTCGATAAAAAGAATGTTTTCGTATACAATATCGGTTGTTATATGAAAATATTGTATAATAAATATATAAAATACTAATAAGAATGATAGAAAAATAATAAGAAGAATAATAGTAATAAGAAATATGGATTTGTTGGGAAATTTGTTCAATTTTATAAACTCACATTTGATTTTAAATTATTACGCCTTTTTATTATACCCTATATATAATCTATATACTTATACATTAATAAATGTGCGTTATCGTTATACAAATTGTTTACTAGTTATTTCTATGCTTATTCTGTTTTCTATATGATGATCTTCGTCCAATAGTAAGCGGCTACTGTAGCTTACATCCCCACCAGTGCCGGACCTAGTTATTTTTCTCCAATCGGAAAAAAATTAAAATTTGGCGTTTAGATATAATGAACATAAACTTCTAAATTTATTTTGCTGCCCTGAAAATTTGCCCGGCTAACGCCCCTAGATCAGGATCTGGTAGGAATTAGATACGCTTGCTTAGCAACATGAAGATTGTGATTCACAATTCTCGATAATTCTGATTTACATATTATTATATTATTCAGTATGCTTTGCGCATATTATGTTTATTATAACTACATAATTTCCATAATCGGTACGCGAAAAGCATTGATTATATAAAATTGTGTTAAGTATATATTACCATTAGTCCATTATTACGATATATATTTATAATGCATGTATTTATTAATTGCTGTTGTGAAAACTATCTACAGTGAACAAACGTGAATTGTGAATGGACTAATACGAGTTTGGTGGATGGATTGCGTTATGTTCAATTGAGATTAATTCATAATACTCTTATTCCGACTTAAGCCACGTATCTATTTATGGTAAACCATTGTTGATGGTTAACATCCGTACGAAAAACAGTATGCAAATAAAACTCTCTTCTCCAAACTGGCTGCTGAATGTAGAAACGTTACCCGAGGAAGTTCGGCTAAAAAGTTTAGTTAAGTAAATTATTTTGTTATTGCACCATATTATCATAAATCTCATAACGCTAACATGTTAACAATTGTCGCTACATATTAACTGTAATTCAGTAATAGGTTAATGCAACTTTGTTTATTAACAAAGGTTTACCATGAGTCATGTAGCTTAATGTAAGTACTTAACTAATTCCTAATTTTTAATGAAGGCAAAAAGTCTGGAAATTCTTTACAATTTCGCAGCTTAGTTGTTCTGTATTATATATTTTTTCTATATAGATAGTCACGTACGTGCTAAAGTACTATTTAATGACTAAGTACCTAATATAAGTTGGTACATTTATATTTTCTTCTGTCATGTAATTAAATGGATAATAACAAATATTTTACACATACTTTCAAATATTATAACGAACATTATATCGTTTACGATACTACCTTCTATTTCCATAAATCTATATCTTATGGAAGCACTAAGGAATTTTGTATTTGCAGTACAAAACTAAAATATATTTACAGTGTTTCATTTTGCCAATATCAACTAAATTTAGCAGTTATTCTACATTCACATTTCAGCACTTTATTACAAGTACACTAGTTTATAATTATTATTTACAACAACACTTAACTTTATTTTTCGTATGCTTGAAAAAGGTATTGTGAGATTATTTATTAAAAATAAAATATAAAAGATACCCATTTATACCTCTAAGATTATTTTGGCATTTGTAAACAATTTTTTGTTACATAATAGTATATTAAATATTATGTAATTATAGAATCAAAGTCTTGCTTCGAAAAATTATAATGAGAATTCAGACAACAGAATTAAATTTGATTTGATTTAACGTGCATTTATATAAATTATAATAAATATAAACAAAAAAAGTAACCAATAAGTATAATACTCTGTAAATGTTATTATGCCACAATAATAAAGTAGATAATCGCAATAGAATCTGGCTAGACTCATATTAGCATAATTCCTGACTTTTAGTTATGTCAAAAATACTAATAATAGATCTCTATCTTAAAGGTGCCCTATAAAAGATGTTTCAAAAAGCGACTATCATGGTATGCATTCGTATTTAGATAAGAGGTATGATGGATCTGGCATGATTCTACTCATTGACACGTCGTGTATAGCCTCTTTTAACATTGGTAGTCTTTACTGTTATATAAACATAAAATAATATACCACAAAAATGTACTAGGAATTTACCTATCATTGCAGATACAAATATTTTCTATTCATATTTAGCAAAATTCAACGGATATTAATAAAATGACCTTAATATGACATTGCTATATTGCCTTTAGATATATATTAATACATACTTAGATGTACAACAGCGTGCAATTAAAATACTTATTAATGAAGTTCAATTTTAATATCATACATTCGAATAAACGTTAATGCGTATTTAGTTTAATAGATATCCAGCAGCTCCTTGGGTTGATGCCTAATATCTATATCTGTACTAGTAGATACCTAATCATTGGTGTGGCAAAAATTCTCTAATGGCAAAACTCTTAGTATCACAAAATATACTTAGCTACACAACAACGACGAACATGAAAATTGACGCAAAGCGGACCCTACTCTCCACTTGCCAATGGATCGATAGCCCATTCATTAACGATCAGTCTTCTAGCCATTGATTAATTATATCCTTCTTTATCCACTTTCGATGAGTATTATTCTGTCTACGCATGATGAACAGCATAATGATAAAGCAGTCTCATGTGGATAAAAAGCTCATCCATGATTACTTGACTCGTCCTCTTGCACTATTTCATAATAACTGTCTATGGTGTAATTGAAGAGTTGAAAGTCATATCTACAACAAATAAAAAATTTGGTATGAGTAATGCAAGCAGACATAGACTAACCGATCTATTTTGCCATTTCAGGCAGAATAATATTTGGCAACAACAAAATACCCACCATTGCCCCTGTAATAAAACAAGTGGTTTACGATATCGTTCATATTTTTTATTTATTTATTACAAAATCCACAAGTCTATAATGTAGTATTATTTCCAATAATCACCACTACCCTTAATTTTGTCATCCCTCATTTTTCCGCTCTGGGCAATTGCCGGTTTATCGACCCTAGATCGGGCCCTGTTTGTAGGTAAGTAGTAAATAAGACATAAATACTTTTATAGTAGTCGTGTCGAGTTAATAGTCGCTTACATTTTCGTTTTAATGCAGAAGAACTTAAAAATACTATGAAGTATTTCATATTTTTTTTAGGTATTTCGTTTAGTGTAACTTCTATATCCTCGAGTACCTTCTCTTACCTAATGTTTGTAAAAAAAATTATCAAGAAAATAAATTACCTGTATAGTTTATAAAGGCCATCAAGTTGTGATTTTTTGAGGCGCGAGTATAAATGGCTAATATTGTGCAATGTATTAGTGCCTTTGCCACTATTACGCCATTCCGGCTTCACAACGTCTTGAAGACGAGCAAGTTGGATCAGGAATCGTTGGTCCTCCTGCAATATGTAACAGATAAAAAATTTCCTATCCACAACAGAATAAAGTCAAAATGCTTAATATCCTTTATAATATAGTGACTCACTAGCTAAATTAAATATTTAATTTAAATAAAAGCAGGGGTTGATAAAAGAAATTATGAACCTTCCGTTAGTGGGAGGAAAGGGATTGTTAGTAATGGAGACTGAGAATCCCATTGCTAGCAATATACCTAACCAGGTCGACCTCCTCGCGGTTCCCCCTGGAAACTATCATGGTTAATTCCTGATGAATTTATCATGATGGGCTAACTGTCCTGTTTTCATTCTCATCTATCACCCTTCACTGGTGCTCCGCCAGCGTATCACATTAGCGCAGGCGGAGTTATCGTTACCATACCATTTTCACCCATAAAAAAACCTTCCGTTAGTTACCATAATTCGTGCCACAAGGACATAGGCGTTAGTAAAAACTTGAGTTGAAGCTGAGTAAACAGATCAGCTACCTACATAATATTATTAATAGTCAATATGTAAATTTATATTACTAAGAAAAAAGGTTTAATGTTTTATTTGTAATAGGTAATCAAAAATAAAACTTTCACCTATAGAAAGCCACATTATCAGCGGGAAACATAGGCTATCTTTTATTTAGAAAAAAAAAATAGAGATTGTTTGGTATGAGTCAATCATATATATTTTATTTAACATAAGAAAATATGTATTGTATATATAAATATTCTTATAGGATTTTAAAGAAATATCTGAACAAAGAACAATAAGTTTAATAGATATAGGTATCTATATCTACTTCGTTAGTATTTTCATGGTGATACCTATTAATTAAGCATAGCCTTATAAGTGTCTAAACAAATTACTTAGAGCTAATATCCGATTCAACAAAGACTGCTACATTCCCTTTGCGTTCTGCATTCAGAATGCCAGCTATGCGTCGTAAGTATGCAGTGTATGTAATATGACAACATTCATTCGACCCTATCTACTAATATGGTCAGAATAATTATGTAATTTATTTAGATCATAATCAAGATGTAAGTAGGTATCTATATAACTGCATAATATAAGAAGTCTTCAATCAGCGGGCTTTGAAGCATTTTACAGGGTTAAATTTAAATTATTAGCATTGCTTTAAAGAAATATAAATCGAAAAAGGACAAGAAATTTTGAACTTCTCATACAAACATGGTGGTACCATATATTTTTCATTGGGAAAAATGTTCAATTTATCTTTTAGAAAACTGCTTTAAAAAATAAAAAAAAAAATCGGTTATGTATTGTTAAGTGATAGCGGTCGATAGTCTGTACCTATTATAGGTTGTTCGTAACAAGAGAGGCACACACACTGAATTCCCTGAACTGATTTAATACTTGTGAATACATTGACTGAACAAATATTTGAATATAATAATGTATTAAATTTTAATAATTGAATTGCGCTTGCTTGCGGTCGCGAGAATCAATCATAAGTATAGTTATATTTTTTTACTAGATCATAGACTATAAGAAACCAGAATGGGCAGGATTAGAAATAAATCTATGATTAATTAGAACCAAGTATAAAAATGAGATTATGACACGTTAAAGAATATACCTAATATTGCGTAAATTACAGCGTTACAGGTACCATATCAAACTGCCATTGTTGACATAATAATAACCTTTTATTTTCTACTTTTTCTTCTTTTGCCTTAGAACAGTATTTTATTTCCGGACGATGATGACGGAAGAACTATAAGTTCAGGTACATATAACAATAATAAAGATTTAAGGTAATTTGTATTCCTACTGTTAATCTTAAGTGCCTACAGTATACCCTATCGACAGACGGATTTATGGTCTAATGACGTCATACGCCTTAATATAGGCACTATATAATATTATCTATTATACTCACGTCTAATGTCTCGAACTTGATAATAACGTCGAAGTTAAACTTGCAAGGTGTACAGAAGTCGGTGTATGGTGTCCAGTGCATATCAAGGGCACGCTTGGCTTTCCTCTCGTCCAGCACGTATGCAACGAACTCTTCGAACACCGGGTATCTTTCTGTCGGTATTGGCTGTGCTTTTGATAATTGCTGTAAAATATTTAAAAGGTGCCACATTATAAAATATGATCGGTATGTTAAGTACAGACCTAACATGAATTTAAATTAGTATTATATTTTTTAAACGGCTTTGAGGAGGAAGTTCCTAATTCGATAGTATTTTGTAATCGATATGATTTGATCCCATATTGGTTTCATAGTTTGTTAAGATTGCGTAATTGTTTTGCAACATCCTAAATTTTAAATAAAACTTAATTCCACAAAAAAATTTTTCAAGTCGCGTAAGCCCTACTGTTAATAAAAATGTGAAACTGAGTTTGTAATAAATATAAATGTTTTAAGGTGTTTAGTACATACCTTTCTATACTTTTTTATTATTCTTTGTCCCATTTTATCATGAAAAGACTTGGGCCATGCATGCACGATTTTGTCGTTGTACGCTGAAGCTAATCTCTCCAGAGGATGTCTAACAATAAGGAACGTAATTGAATCTGGCTGAGCCTTCTTGATCATTTCTACCGTCGGCCTAGCGTACTTCCTTCTAGCAAGTTCTAGTGGCACCTCTTTAGTTTTATCGAGAAAGGCAGCAGTGTAATTTGCCATCAAATTAAAGTTATACATCCAGGATGTGGAAGCTGCTTTAAAGATGTTGCACCTAGAACAATATGAAGCGTATACACAAGTGATGTTATATTTAGACAAGTGATAGTTGGTATTTGTGGAATTTTGAATTCAAAATATGATAAATGATTACAAAAACACTTGGTTACCCCAACTTATTTACTGATAGGATTGGATACTTGGAAATTTCATAACCTTAGGAGGATAATAAAACTTTCTACACATCTATTTTACCTATATATTACACTGTGTTGTCTCTTTATTTCGAATTTGGAATTTAATTCAAAAGAAAGAGACAAAACAGTTTCATAATTAAAATAGGTTTTTACTCGTATGTTTTATTGGTATATAAGGGGGTGGGCAATTACAAATTATTACTGTTACATTATGAAAATGCAATAATTGCTGTGTGATTGAAAAAATTCCAAGCGGAAGATATTGTCATTGGGTAGTTTGTATAAAGCATACTTGTGAGAACAGGTTCGTAAACTATACTAAAATGTATAATTTTAATCTTAATTATAATAAATTAATACATATTTTTTAGCCAATAGACTTTTTAATTTAATATGTTTTTTATTACCATCAATCATACTTCTTTTTATCTGTGATCAAACATGGCGATAGCATATAATTGCTACCGTTAGGGTTGGTCTACAATATAATTTATTCAATAAAGCACGCGATATGTAAATAAAATGAGGCTATCAACATCAATCTATGGCGTGTTCAGATAACATCACTAAATGGGATGTGATGAATACCTCAGTACAATTGAATGAATAAGTATGTAATATTTGTTTTACTAATAAATTTTTAAAGATGAAAAAGAAACGGTAACTCCGCCTTCGCTATCGGTATAAGTACGAATAAATATTACTAAGGATAAGAATTGGATTACGTCAATAAGGCCATCGTGATAAATTCATCGAAGAAAACCACGATGGTTTCGTCGATTTGATAGGATATATCAGTTACTAACAGTTCCCTCCCCTTTCTAAATGACTATTAGATACTACTGCGAACTAGATGCGCTATGATATGTGATAGTGATGAAATAGGGACCCCGCCTGCTCTACCGGTATACGCTGACGTGCTACCAGAGAGATGACAGGTGACGATGAAAACAGGTCAGTTAGCCCATCGTGATGAATTCCACAAGAATTAACCGCGATGGTTTCCAGGGGGTAACGACCTATATATATTGATAGAAATCCGCCCCCCCCCCCCCCCCCTATTAGTCAGATCATAGTAGACAGTAGTTAAAAATAGGTAAGTAGTAGTTTAAAAGTCAATTCTTCTAATAACATTTTGGGCAGATGAGGAATATTTATCCGAGGACTAAATTTCATTTTATGTTGACCTCGCTTGCCCAGAGTTTTAAATTGCGCAACAAACAATTATAACCCTACATTTAATCTGGTCAGAATAAAACTCCTAAAATTACGTGCTACAACGCACATTTGTTGTCCTATTATATGACTTACACAAAGGAACAGATAATATAATACTACATATATGAGTAATAAAAGGAACATTTGTCTGAAGTAAATGCCTATCGTCTATTTGAATATATTTTTAAAGTATAGGTACGATTGAGCTTTCATGCCATGACATCAACTGATCGACGCAGGACCCTCGAATTCGCTCGATCGTGCGTATTTCTCGATACAACAAAAAGCCGAGATCTCCGCTTTCTAAAGGCTTCATAGAATGGAGAAGTCAAGCTGTTTGCAATTTGTGATGACTTCAAGTTTTGTAGGGTCGACGGATTGATGACATCATATCTAATTAGATATTGCATCATTTAGATCCATTATATCTAATTATCTTTGGGTTATTTCTAATGGTTAACTACGAGAACACAACCTTGATTTTTTTAGTGGATCAAAATTTTTTGCTAATTATCTGCATAAAAAAAAAACGTAATTTTATAGTATATGAACGTACCATAGAAAAAAATAACGTACATGAACGCATTCATTTAACAGATCAGCACACTTAGTTGCTGGTGGGGTAAATTTCCTAGGTAAGTAAGTTTTTTAATGTCCAATTATTGTTACTGTACTTAATAACTATATGTCTAGGTAAATGTTAATACATATAAGTATCGTGTAACAATGTCCATGTATTTTAATATACAAAATCGACCAAAGATGTGAAAGAAAAAGCTTTTATCGGCAATCAATTGCACTTATAAAAGAATAATATTTTGTAAGAATTAGTTGACAAAGTGGCCAACACAAGGGCATTACTATTGTACATCGGGTAATTCACACATGCGTTTATATACCTGAGAACTATAAGGTGTTATGGATCAGCGCACATAGCAGTAAGTTTATTTATGCATGCTGAAAAAGACTATAATGTCATATATTTGATGCAGATGTTTGTATTACACACTGCCTCACCTGTCGTGGATTCGATTCCAGTACAACACAAAAATTATTCATATATTCTGTTTTGTATATACGTATCTATAAAAAAGTTATAAGTATGTTTATCAATTAACTAATACACTTAGTAAAAACTAAGAATGGGTAATATACATATAGCAATATCTATACATTGTAGTTATAATATCTATACATATGTTGGCCCTATAACAGATATATTAATTATCGGTTATCCAATATATAATATCGAAACGAAGAACCCGCTCGTAATGTATATAGATATCCAATATATTTAGTTTAGGTCGGCGCCATCTGCTGCTTAATGTGAGCAGTGGTATTTACTTATTATTATAAATATAAATACTTACCATATAACATGGTACTGTCTGTTGATTAGGTATTCCCATGCGTAGGCTTTACGGCTGGAGCTGTCCAGCCCGAGTCTGGAGCACTCGCTCCTCAGGAACTCTCGTCTGGCTTCCATCCTGGCGTTCACCTCCATGAATTTGTCCCGTGTGAGCAGACCCTCCTCGTGAGTACCATTCTCGTATAGATACTGAAACAATTTGCGTTATTTCTGTTAATAAAAGTGTTAGAAGTCCATAGGTTGAATAACATAACATGCAAAGTCTATATTTTTTATAATATCTATTAGAAAACATTAAGTTTTGATGGTTCACCTCATGAAAAATAATTATTGCTTACAAAAATTATGGACATGACAGTATTTCAATGTCCTTCGATTTATTATCGCTCCTAATTACTGAATACACGAAAGGAAACTCGTAACGATCCAATATTATATCAGTATCGCGTTAAATTTTTCAACCGACTTCAAAAAGAAGGGAATTTCAGTTGTATTTTTTTATGTTTGTTATCACATAACACCGTCAATTGTAAACCGATTTGGAAAATTCATTTTTTATATGAAAGTTTATAATTACAGGTTCCATAGAAATTTTATCAAAATCAGTTTAGTAGTATGCTGGTTTTGTTACAGTTGAATTCGATTTTATTTGTGAAACATAATCTTACATTATTAAACGCAGATAGCAATGCAATATTGTGAAAATATCCGATACGATTTCAAGATCGATTGATCCAATTGTACTTAGTGAGATGGTGTGATCATCCTTGGATGCAGTAAAGTGAAGTTTCCACCTTTTTGACAGTCTAACAAGTATTGGGATCGATTTTGAGGCACCATTTTTTTTAATTTCTACAATTAAAATTCCGATTTAATATCGCAAACGTTCTTCTAAATATGAAATAAATTTATAGTATTTTTTCGAGATTTTAGTCTAGATTGTTCTAAGAGACTACAGCATGGGATTCTTCAATAAAGAAATTGAGAGATTACTTCAGAGCGTTCATAAGCTACAGTAACCGCTTATTTATGGTGGACCGCATAGGTACTTGTTTGCCACTTCAGTGGTATAAAAAAGTTTTAAGTCAACATTTTTATAAATTAGATTTACAATATTTTATAATACATTAATTTCGGGAAATTATCAAATTAAAATATAAGGTTACGTTTATAGGTTTAGAGAGATACCGCCTGAAAATCGGCTCTATTAGGAATATTTTTTAACGGAATATGTAAAATAGCTTATTTATTTACACTTGGTAGTACCAGATACAAAAATAAGAAATATAATAAATCCTTACTAATATTATAAATGTGAAGTGAGTTTGTTACCTCATAACGCCGTAATGGCTTAACCAATTACTATGACATTTGGTGTACACATAGTATATAGGAAGGAGAAGAAAATAGGCTACTTTTATCCCAGTCAGTAAACACATCCTGATCACGTGGACAAAGTCACGGGTATAAGCTAGTAATTTGTATGCTAATACCATATGTGAACAAAATGTAATATGTTTGTATACGTCGGTCTAATTTATACTGGTTATAACCATAACGTTTTCTTGTAGTTCAAGCTCACTTAAATGTATATTTAAAAAAATAAGTAAAATATTTAGAGAGGTACGTATAGAGAAATGTGCACTTGCAATATGCAGTAAGTACCTATGACGCGTCACACGTTATATAAATAGGTACCTAGTTACTGTGGTGTACTTTCACTTACTTTCCCAGTTGTTTATAACTGCAAAAAATATAACAACACTATAATGTTTTTTACAAAACGTGCGTGAACCAAATGGTAGTAGAGTGATAGTAGATTGATAGCTAATATGGAAAGTTGTGGAACTTGTGGTAGTAATAATGGTAGTCAATCTTCGAGAGTTGGCAGTCATACATGTACTAATGGTAGCGGAATTAAACAAAATAATACTAGTCAAATAACCAGTGATATGGACATCCGCAAGATAACAACTAGTTTAGTAGAATATTTACATGTATACTGTTTTTTAAATGAATGATAATGGAACGGTAACCCTCTTACGCTGGGGGGAAAGGGATTGTTAGCAATGGAGTTTGACAACCCCATTGCTAGCAATATGCCCTATCAGGTCAACCTCCACGTGGTTTCCCCTGGAAACCATCGTGAACAATTCTCGTTGAATTCGTCACGATGGGCTAACTGACCTGTTTCATCCTCACCTATCATCCCTCACTGGTGCCCCGCCGGTGTATACCGATAGCGCGGGTGGGGTTACTATTTCATTACCACCTATAAAAAAAAAACCTCTTATGCAAATAATATACACTAACGGGGCACCAGTGAGGGATGATAAGGTCTAGGATTTAATTATATTGTTAGAATTAGAGTGGCTTTTATGGGAAATTTCTTATGACGTCATTAGTACTTAAGTATTTGCTTACATTTTTATGCAACTCGGAATATCGAAGTATAAATTTATATATATATATATATATATATATATATATATATATATATATATATATATATAAATATATATAATTTTGGGACGGACGGTAATGGGATCCTTAGTCCTCATTGTCAGCCATATATCATGTTAGATCGACTTTCCCATGGTTAATCTGGAAATTAACGTAGCTAATTCCTAGTGAACTCATCAGGATGGCCCAATTGACCTATCAACATCTTCACCTATCAACACTCATTGGTGTCCCGACAGCGTATTTCGATAGCGCAGGTGAGGTTACTATTATGTTTACATTCTATAAAAAGGCTCTGATGTATCTACATGAACAGAATAGAACAGACTAAGGTTTATCCGTCCGACCATTATTAGATTTTGTTATTTATCTGAATGTTTTAATTAAGTTCTTTAACCATGAAATGTAATAAACCAAATTAATTGAAGACAAATAGACTTAGATAGTATCGTCTTACTATCATAAAAAAAATTTTAACTGGACAATGTCTGCACATGGGAGATATTTAAGAAAAACAAATATGAGAAGTCTTAATAAGATCAAAAGGATTTTTTTTTGTCTATCTGTCTGTTTATTCTCACAATACGCAAAAACTACTACACAAAATTGGATATAGTTTTCATACTTATGTTTCCGAAGGTTTAACCTAAAATCTGATGTATGTTTTATGTTGATACGCCATCTATAAATGGTTTACTCATTGGTTTTTCTACTTCTGAAATCTAGGCGTACGAAATACAAAAAGCTAGACAAACAAATTTATATACATAGTATTATCAGTTACAAAAATGACATAAACGGTGTAAATACACGAGTTATGTTTTCGTGTCTCCTGAACATAAAATGCACATAAATTGTCCTATAGGTCTATAAAATAGAACTAATTTTATTATTTGTCATAATATATATTTCATGTGCCTACCTAACATAAAAGTTTCAATAAATAACAAAGTTATAACTATCTTTTTTTATAATATAAATAAATTCACCATAATTATTTGTATATATATTTTTTCTGTGATAATGTAATAATAATAGTTTATTCAGTAAACATTGTTGAACTTACAAAAAAGGTTCATACAAAATAACATTAGGTACATGTATAGGAGGTGAAGCTGATTTTTTTTTAGTGAATGATAATGGAATGGTAGGGTGGAAAGGGATTGTTAGTAATGAGGTCTTATAGCCCCATTGCTAGCAATTGACCCTATCAGGTCGACCTCCACGTGATTCCCCCTGGAAACCGTCATGGTTAATTCTTGTCAAATTCATCATGGTGGGCCAACTGACCTGTATTCATTCTCACCTATCATCTTCCACTGGTGCCTCGTCGGTGTATACCGATAGCGCGGGTAGGGTTACCATTCCATTTACATATATTAAAAAAAAATGGAATGGTAACCCCGCCTGCATTAACGGTATACGCTAACGAGGCACCACTGAGGGATAATAGGAGAGAAAGAAAAGACAGTCAATAACTCATCGTGACGGATTCAACGATAAATTAGTTATGATGGTTTCCAAGGGCGATCGCGTGGAGTTCGACCTGAATACATTGATAGCAATGGGGACTAACCTTTCCTGACAGGGTATATTGCTAGCAATAGGGCTGTTAGAACCCGTTACTAACAAACCTAATTATATACGATTATTGCCTACTTACCTACGTTTGATATTATCTGAATTAATATAATTACTAGTTTTTATACACATCGTCAGCGTTGATTGATCAGGATAAAAAGTTGGATATGACCTTTAATATGACCTACGCCATCAATAATACTATGTATAAGTACCTACTAAATTTCATTACCATTTTGCCAACCGTTAAAGTGTGAAATAGCAACAAACACACTTTCCTACCTATAATATTATTAGCTGTCCACGGTTTCGTCCGTGTGACCAGGATATTACTGACCGAGATAAAAATTTGCTTATATCCTTTTCCATTGCATATAATACGTGTACGAGTATACCAAATTTCTCAGTGACTGGTTAAGCCGTGAAGGCGACAAGACGTAACAAACGAACAAACTCACTTTTACATTTATAAAATAATAAGTAAGGATTATGGATGTAATCTTATTCTACTATATTTATATTTAATATAAGTGTGGTATAATTTCACTTACAAATAAAATTAACAACACTTTTATTTAAAAAAATACAGCTGTACCATTTTCTGCAAAACGTGCGTGAACAAAATGGCAGTCGGAGATTAATGGCTAATATAGAAGGTTGTAGAACTTCTTGTAGTAATAGTGGTGGTCAATCTTCGAGTGTTTGCAGTCATATACATACTAATAGCAGCGGAATTAAACAAAATAATTCTAATCAAATAACCAGTGATATGAACTTCCACAAGATAACCTAGTTCCGTAAAATATTTACATGTATATTGTTTTTTTTTTTAATGAATGGTAATGGAATGGTAACCTCGCCTACGCTAATGATATACACCTACGAGACACCTGTGAGGGATGATAGGTGAAGATACATTTAACAATCTTACTTTTACATTTATAATTTCTTTCTTTCGTCAATATAATCATCGTCATCATTTCAGCCATCCGTCCACTGCTGGACATAAGCTTCGCCCATAGACTGCCATAAAGAACGGTCCTGAGCCACCTGTATCCATTAACTCCTTGCAATGCATTTCAGGTCGTCACTCCATCTATTGGGTGGTCATCCTACATTGCGTTTGCCCGTACGCGGTTGCCACT